TATTTCTAACCAACCCACAGAACCTTCCTTCAATAAACAGATTTCCTGATATAAGACTGGAGATAGTGTTGTGTTTAATTTTTCCCTGTAAGCCATTCCGTAACTATGGCACCGTCACAAGAGCCTAGAAGCAGCTGTGGTAGAGAGAGTGCCTCACTGAACAGGAGGTCACCTATCACCAGGGGGACTGCTGCAATGCTTGCAAAGGTCCCCCAACACACAGGCCATGCTGCAGTGTGGCAAGCGGGGAAGTCTCTTGCCCCTCCCCTGGAATGCTGGCTACACAGACCCGTGGCTGCATGGACCCGTGGAGTGTGAAGTGCTATTCTGAGCCTTCCGGGCCTGGGTGGGAAAAAGGTCTGGCAGATCATGACACGGCGGTGATGTGAGGTTTGGGGCAATCTGGGTGAGAGGTACACAGAATCATCTGTACTACTTCTGCAAGGCCGTTCTACATCTGCAATGGCTTCAAAATTAGAAGTTAAAGTTTGTTTCTTTTTCCTTTCTTTCTTTTAAAGGAAGTCCTGCAAAAAAAAAATAAACGAAAAACTAAACAAATAAAGGGCCTGGCACCTTCCACTTTTGCACACGGACACTGAAGGGTAAAGGAGCCCAGCTCCCCGAGGCTGCTGTGCTAGGAGGATGCCCAGCCTAGCCCCACTGACAGGCCTTGTGGAGGAGAAGGGGGAAAGACAGACATCAGATGTGGGGTTTCTGGATCTTTCGGATTTGAAAGAACAATTATTCATTATAATGAACCAGAAGTACAAGATTTTGCTGAAAACAGAAATAGCTGACAGAATATGGCTGAACTTAAACGTTCAAGGGAAATAAGAGGGGGAAACAAAGCCATTAAGAGTAGAGAAGCCCAAGACTGGTTTGGAAAACACATAAAGACAGTAGCGTCTAGTGATGAGCTCTGGGTCTTGTAAGTGATGAATCACTGAATTTTACTCCAGAAACCAATATTGCACTGTATGTTAACTAAAATTTAAGTTAGAAAAAATAAAGATGCGGGGCGCCTGGGTGGCTCAGTCGTTAAGCATCTGCCTTCGGCTCGGGTCATGATCCCAGGGTCCTGGGCTCAAGCCCCACGTCGGGCTCCCTGCTCAGTGGGAAGCCTGCTTCTCCCTCTCCCACTCCCCCTGCTTGTGTTCCCTCTTTGGCTGTCTTTCTGTCAAATAAATAAATAAAATCTTTAAAAAAAATAAAACAAAAAAAAACAAAGATGGTAGCATCTAAGTGTGGGTATCTTCTGACCCTCCGCCCCCCCTACAGTCAGGCTGCCACGGGGCTCCCATCCCCCTCTCCCTTCTGAAGCTTCTGCTAAACCACATGGCTTCTCCACACTACACACACAAGCCAACCCGACAGCACCCTTTTAGACATAGTATAAACATAAAGCCTGGAGGAGAGTTTATAAATCTCGTTCAAGGTTGGAACGTACACACAGTCAACCCAGCACCCCAGTTATCATCTATGTTCCAGCCTCCGGCGATGCCATGGGGAACAGAGACAGGTCGTTCAAGTCAAGCCCTGCCCCAATTACAGAACCTCTAACTTGGGATAGTCTGTTACAGAGCAATATGTCGACCATCCCCCTGTGGCAAAACGCCATCCATGCTGGCTGGGCAAGATCTGACTATCTGAATGGGCCTTTTGGACCTAATTCCTTGGGCTAAGGTTGGTTTCACGTTCTTCTTGGCTAAATGCTTTTGCTTCCTGAGTTCCTTTTGATACAGCATCCCTTCTTTCATTAGGATTTATCTTACCGCATATCTAAGACGATTAAAGGCATCCCCCCCCCCTTTTTTTTCCTAGCAGGATTTTTGCTCCTTGCATTGTCTCTGTCCCATCAGAGTCCCTTTTTTGTCTGTTCTGGTCACCATCCATCATTTTGGAGCCTTTACTCAGGTCTCTGGTGACCCTCTATTGTTGGTTAACACTTAAGGCTGAGATGCTGTCACCTGCAGCCTACAGAGTCCTGACTAACCGCCAATGGTGAAAGCCTACACTACGACAGTACCAGCGAGGCTGACTGAATTCAGACATTAAGGAGGCAGACTAGACAAAACACAAAAATGAAGGGAACCCAGAGAGGGGAGGTGCTCGGGAAGAAGCCTGTCCAGGGTGCAGCTGAAGCATGGGGGACTGGTAACAGCTACCAGAGGGGTGGGACACACAGGGAAAGCTTCATGGAGGAGTGACATTTTGTGTCACCGCCGAGGTGTGTAGGTTGGGACAGAGTGGGAATGAGGGGTGGGGAGTGAAGGAAGCGGTGTGGCAGGGAAGAGGCCCTGCGCACTTCTAGATGCCGATGACGACACCCTGCACTCGAAGTGGATGTGATGACCGATGAGACAGCTGGTGGCGGAGGCGGGATCTTGTCCATGGGGAGGGCTGGGGATGACGTGAACTCTGTTGGGAGCGGAGTGCAATGTGGTGAAGTGTCTGCCAAGATGGTGACCAACAACTCCTCGGGCTCCACATTCCCATGCTGTTCCTCTGAAGACCGCATTTATTTTACACAAATGTTTGTAATGGCCGCTACTTACTAGTCTTAATGGCCCAGCATAGTGTCCGTCAACTAATGAACGGATAAAAACATGGTGTATCCATAAAAAGGAATATTATTTGGTAACACAAAGGCATGGAGGACTGACAAGACGCTTACAACACAGATGAACCTTGAACACCTTATACTAAGTGGAAGAAGCCGGTCATAAAAGGCACACCTAAAGGCAGTAGCATCTAGTGAAAAGCACTGGGTGTTATGATTCCACTTACAAGAAATGTCCAGAACAGGCAAATCTATGGAGATAAAACAGATTACTGGAGGGAGAGGGTTAAGGAAACGGGAGCTATTACTAAAGGACATGGGTTTCTTTGGGGTGATGAAATGTTCTGGAATTACAGTGGTGATGCTCATACAACTCTGAGTATACTAAAAACCACTGGATCATACACTTGAAATGGGTTATGTGTATGGTATGTGAATGATCGCTCAATAAAGTTGTCACCAAAAAGGGTGGGGGTGTCGATGACATCTAGTTCCTCTCCCACTGAATCCAGCCACCCCTGTCGAGAGAATATGGGTAAGTGATGCTGGGCCGATTCTGGGCCTACGCATGAAAAGGATGGCAAGCTTTCCACCTTCACCCTCTTGGAAGTGAGTTGCCATGTAAACAAGCCAGGCTAGATGACAGACAACAGGTAGAGAGGCGCCTCGTGGAGGTAAACCAGGACCCCACTCGTGAATGACGACATCTTGGGACATTCCAGCCCAGCCAAGCTGACAGCTGAATTAAGTGACCCCAGGAGAGATCACATAAAACCAACTCACAGAATCATGAGAATAAATCACTGTTGTTTTAAGCCACGGAGTTTTGGGGTGCTATGCTATACGATGCATAACTGACACACCACCTCTCCAAGCCCCGGGTTCCACCTCTGTAATGTGGGAGTAAAGCCATAGGGCTCTTGGGAAGGTCACACAAGGCTAACAGCAGGCACCAGGCTCAAGAAATACTAGTTGCTATAGTTATTATTAGTAAATATCATCCCAGGAGCCCCTTGACATACTGCAAGTATACTGCCTGGGAAACTCCATTCCCACAAGCACCTGCTACCTCCAATCGCAGGGCTTCCAAAAAACTGGTTTCCCGAGAAAAACAAAGATATATATATATTTTTTTTTACAATTTTCTGTAGTACAAAAGATGAACTTTCAACCATAAACAGACTAAGGTTCTGCTTAGATTAGCCATCTACCCAGGTACCTATCCATTCAACACACCTTTATTAAGTCCTTACTGATTACCAGACACAGATTAACAGCAGCTCAGAAGACCTTCCCTCACTTGAAACAGCAACAGTTACCACGTAGCGGGCTGTTAAGCGAATGGGCTACACACCTGCACGTCAGCTAGAGATGTACCTACAGTCATAGATAAAATCTAAAATCATCCACCCGGAGAAAAAGGTGATCGGTACAGATTCCAAGGCCAAACCATCAGGATTCCAATCTGGAATCTGCCCGTTAGCGGGGTGACCTGCAGCATGTCATTACTCCCCTCTGTGACTTCATGACTTCACCATAAAATGGGAATAACCTCACAGGATTGTTGCAAGGATTAAATGTTAATGTAAATAAAGCTCTCAGGAGACTACTTGGCACACAACAAGCACTCGGTAAGAATTGGTGATTTTAAAAAACCTGAAGGCGCTGTAACACAGCAACTATTCTGCAAACCCAGAGGTCACAGAACAGTCCTAATAGTCACCCAGACACCTAGCACAGTGCTCCTCAAGAGGCTTCCTTTCTAATCCTTCACAGACTGATACATTTTGTAAAATGCCGATCACCTGCTTGAATGTCACAGCCATGTCCAATTGCTCTAAAAGTTCTTCCCTGGTTACTCTCACTCTCTGTACTTCTCACAGCTGTCCACAGATGGGCACTTGTCTGCACAGCCGACTTGGAGTAGCACTGTTCCAGCACACAAGGACTCACAGGCCTGCTGAAAACTCAGCTCGCAGGTTCAAGAGAATTATGAAAACACAGCAGTAAAGAAAATCAACCCAACAGCTGGGGCAAGAGGATGACTTGCGGGTCAACAAACCGAGACAGAGAATAATCTCGACTGGCCAAATCTAAAAACCAAAACTGGCTGCCAGGGCAAGAACCCATCTGGTACTTTCCCACCTCCCAGGACTCCAGAGGGTGCCCCTGGGGAAACATGTCAACCAGGAAGTCATCAGCCCCAGAGGGATAAGAGATATAGAGAAAGTAGGCAGAACTGACTCAGGCCTCCCGAGAAAGAAGTCCTTCTCAGGAGTCAGAAACCACCCTAAGCAGTCACCAAGCTTTGGGAACATCGACCACGGCACACAAAGGCCTGAGTTCCTTCTCTGCCAAACAAAACATGCAAACGTTTCCTCTGATGACGTGGGACTGTGCCCATGCACACCCACATATACACACACCCTGTTCCCAGTACCTGTGGTTTTAGGAGGCTCCTGAGGTCCGCCCTGCCAGCCATACTGTGGGTATCCTTGGTAGGGGTACCCCTGGGGAGGTGGGTAGGGTCCCCCCATAGGTCCTGGAGGGTAGCCTTCTGGTCCCATTGGTTGTGGTGGATAAGGTGGGTACGGGGCCGTCGGACCAGGGCCCGGATACGGTGGAGGGTTCCCTGGGTTCATCAGGGACCTGCAGAATGTACCTAAAAGACAAATAACGAAAATTATTTTCATCTAATCCGTGGAAATCATTAGGAAAAAAAATTTCAACTCAAGAGACCATTTACAAAACACCTTAAAGGTTACAAACCTCTTGTAAAACCTTCATTTCTGCCCATTATTTCTTTCTCACCATTCCCACAATGGACAAGTATCTTCTGTACCTACTTCTTTGCCTTCTGCCTGCCTTCCTCACTAGACTGTAGGCTGTGACAGCAGGGATCAAATCACCACCTGTGGATCATCACCATGACCTTGGAGCTTAGCATACTGCCTGGGACAAGACAGAATTTTTTTTTTTTTTAATTCTCTGAAACGCCCACAAATGTGACTGCATAGCTCTAGGAAGAAAGCAGCAAGTGTAACAGAACTAATTACGAATCAGATCAGAGGGGGCTAACCCAGCATGAGAAATCCTCCAAAAAACAGGGCTGGGCCACACTGGGATCTTCTAACAAATAACATTACTGCGGTGACCGACCAAGGACCCACGGCTCTAAGCAACTGACCTGTGTGCTTAGTCCTCGCTGGACAGAGGGCACTCAGATCATCCAGGGTCCCAGGACTCTGGAGGGCTCACCAGGAACCCTCACCCTGGTGTTTAACGGTGCCTGTTCTTGGTGGTTTTGCCTTTGTGAGGAAGGCCAGGGTTGCCCAGCCCCCAAAGACTCGTTAACCGTTCTCTTGACTGGGCTTAAAGTCCCGCGGCCAGCCTGTTCTCTCCGTCCTCTCTGCAGCCCCTGCAGGGCCTGACGTTACAGTGACCTGACTGAGAGCATCCCTGGGGTAGCAAAGGGCATACTCGGATGAACGTGGTACCCGTCATCTGGCTGTGTTGTACTGTTACCGTCTGCAGTACCGATATTTAACTCTTTATCTACTCGGGAGCCTTCTATCCCCAACTAAACAGTAAGTTAATAGAAGGAAGACTCTTATTGTCAAAATTTAATAATTTCACTATTAATTCTTCTTTATAACAGTAATCAATAAATTTGTTAAGTGACTCTGCACGTATGTGAAGAACAAAATAACCATAAAGTAAGGTTCCCTAGAAAATCCAGATTAAAATAATAGTGGACTCTGCAGGTTGCCCACACAACCACCATAACCCCCTTCATAATAGTGGTCAGATTTCCAGTCAGGTACCCCCATCCATTCTTCCTTCCACAACAGCTCCAGGATGAGCCCAGGGTAACCTAAGCCAACACAGGTCACTCTTTCCCCCTTTTCATCAAGATTAGTAGAAGGAATCCAAGACTAAGTCAATCACAAATGGCATTCCTTGGCCAATGGGACTGGTTCTGACATGGTTTGGTAACTAAAAGCTCGGGGTTCTTCTAACACACTCCCAACCTCCCTTTCCCCTAACTCGAGCACAAAGTCTAGCAAGGACAGGGCCGAGAGAAGAATTGCCAACAGCCGATCTGCAGCCCTGAGGAAGCCAGCCTGAAGACGAAGAGGCGCTCCAGAAAAGCAGAGCAGAAAGAAAAAAAGAAAAGCGATTCCAGACGACTTTGTAACGGGTTCATAAATCAGGCAGAAACCTAGCCTAACCTCAACTACCCCTAGAATTTCCAGTTCTAGGAACCAGCAGTAAGTAAGCTAATGAGCCCTTCTGAGTGACATTCAAGCAAACACATAGTTATCCAGTGCTGACCGTGCCTGGCGCCGTGCTAGGTAATGGGGTGCAGAGATAAATATGGCTCAAACCCATCCCTTGGGCAACTGGTTAAAAAGGCAAACATAAGGGTAGTGATTTTTAGAAAAGGTGGTAAACAGACAGCTGGGCAGGAATAGGGGCTTAAACCCAGTAGGAGGAGGTTGAGAGTGTCACTTGAAGGAGGTGATTATAAATTGAAACTTTCTAATATGGAATCAGAATGGCTTGAAGGTCTCTATTTTGACCACATCTGCATTCTGTCCCTCATTTTAGAGACTTAGTTTTCCAGGGCCCTTAACAGGGATTCAGAAAAATCTCGAGTTCTTTCCCTTCTCTGCTTTTTTTTTTATAAAGATTTTATTTATTTATTTGAGAGAGAGAGAATGAGAGAGAGCACGAGAGGGAAGAGGGTCAGAGGGCGAAGCAGACTCCCCGCCGAGCAGGGAGCCCGATGTGGGACTCGATCCAGGGACTCCAGGATCATGACCTGAGCCGAAGGCAGTCGCTTAACCAACTGAGCCACCCAGGCGCCCTCCCTTCTCTGCTCTCGACCAACATGGCGTCACACTCTGACCCGGGAATGGCCTTTCCCCTTATCGTAACGCAAAGGCTTATGGTGGCTAACACTGCAATAATCACACGAATCTGGGGACACGTATGTAAGTAACCCGAAACCACGTCTGCATTTCCTCTCTTCTACTAAGAAGGCTGTGGAAAACCTAGTGAGCCCTGGTTTAAAACAGAAATCAATCTCATTGACTCTCCCTGTCCCCCAAATGGCCATTCCATTGTTTACTCTTTAGGTCACAGAAGTAGAACACAACCATCATAACTACGCTTTCCAGAAATTCAGTGTAACGGGGTGGGGGTGGGGGCTCCTCTGAACTAATCCCATCAAAACTGTATTTTATCTTATTAGTCCAGCAAGACCCTGTAGTAATGATCATTCTCACTCTAGCAAAGTCTGGACCAAACTCTGTAGACACTGTCCTTCAGAACAGCAACCCATGAGAAGGAAAAAAGAACAAAGTACATAGAACTACTACAACTTCAGACCTCAATGTTTCATGACTTTTCTGGATCCATCCACTTGCATCTATTCCCCATTACCCTGTGCTGTTCTCTCTCTCTGAAACCCTCAAAACTCCTCCAAAATGTATATGCCGTCTCTCCTTCTCCCTCAAGAGGTTTCCCCCTCAATTTTGGTATGTACCTTTCTCCCTCTACCTGAGGCATCATTTAATGTCTAGGGAGAAAAAAAAAATCCCAAGTCCTACTCACAGAGGCACTTATAAAGAACATAAACCAGGGCGCCTGGGTGGCTCAGTCGTTAAGTGTCTGCCTTCGGCTCAGGTCGTGGTCCCAAGGTCCCGGGATCGAGCCCCGCATCGGGCTCCCTGCTCCGCGGGAAGCCTGCTTCTCCCTCTCCCACTCCCCCTGCTTGTGTTCCCTCTCTCGCTGTGTCTCTCTCTGTCGAATACATAAATAAAATCTTAAAAAAAAAAAAAAAAGAACATAAACCATCCAGGGGCACCAGCTGCCATGCCTCCCGCCCTTGGGAACACTTGTGTCACTGTGTTCCCAAGACACCCAGTCATCTTAAAGGGATAAAAATCTGGGCCTATCTTCATTTCCCTCTAAGTAGTATAAAAAAAAAAAAAAAGTCTCAGAGCGCCTGGGTGGCTCAGTCGGTAAGCGTCTGCCTTCCGCTCAGGTCATGATCCCAGGGTCCTGGGGTCCAGCCCCGCATCGGGCTCCCTGCTCCGCAGGAAGCCTGCTTCTCCCTCTCCCACTCCCCCTGTTTGTGTTCCCTCTCTCGCTGTGTCTCTCTGTCAAATAAATAAAACCTTTAAAAAAAAATATCAGTAAGAGAAGTCACAGAAACAGCACCTGTGCTGAGATCAAAGATCCTGGGGCTGGCATTTACAAAGCACAACTTTACCTCGTGGGAATCAATCCAGAATCCCAAGTTTGTACAGAAGCCAACCGAAGTAAAAAAGATCACCTAACCCTGACACAGCCTAGTACAAACCACTTAATGTAATCAAAACACAAATGACTTTTAAATTCAAGGTATGATACTTAACTCTGTAACATGAACATTTTCCTTATAAATTTGGTCAGGTGAAATGCAAGCCCTACTATAACAGACTGTGTTACACCGAGGGTCAAATGTAAACTGGAAACTGTACTATTAAAGACAAATCAGAGCTCAAAACAGGAAAGCTCAAATCAAGCAGCAGTCAAGATCCATTAACAGACCACACTGAACAATGCTATCAAGCCATGCTCAAAGTCACAGCATCCCGGTCATTCAGTCATGCAATGAGAAGAGCAGGAACTATGCCTTCAGAAAGTGGTCCTATGAGATAAGACCACTAGAAAGGGGACAGGTGGGTGGCTCAGTTGGTTAAGCGACTGCCTTCGGCTCAGGTCATGATCCTGGGAGTCCGCTTCTCCCTCTGCCCCTCCCCCATCTCATGTGCGCTCTCTCTCTCTCTCTCTCTCATTCTCTCTCAAAAAAATAAAAAATATATATAAATAAATAAATCTGGTACAATTATAAAAAAAAAAAAGACCACTAGAAAGGACCTCAAAAAAGTAGAGACACAGGAAAGAACAATATTTTTCAAAGTTATTTTTTTTTAAAGATTTTATTTGACAGAGAGACAGCAAGAGAGGAAACAAAAGCAGGGGGAGCGGGAGAGGGAGAAGCAGGCTTCCCGCGGAACAGGGAGCCCGATGTGGGGCTCGATCCCAGGACCCTGAGATCATGACCTGAGCCGAAGGCAGACGCTTAACGACTGGGCCACCCAGGTGCCCCAGTTGTTATTATTTTTTAAATTACAAGATACCCGGTAGCCTGGCACTGACCTTGAAGGGAGAACAGTAAAGAATCTTCCTCTGGAAAAACTAAAAAGTGCCCATGGAAGAAGTACTACGGATATCAGTATTTGAGGAGACTCCAAGAAATGACTCACCACCCAGTCACCCCACAGCAAAGTCCATGCACACAGAACTTCTAATTGACTTTTTATCGCCTAATACATAAATGAATGGACAGAAATTATCAGACATCTGAGTAAAGTCTACAACATAAGAGAGCAAAACAGAATAGGAAGAAAAAATTTAAATGTCCAAAAGTTAAATTATGGTACAGCTATATAGTAGTTCTTCTGCATTTTTAATGGTTTTTGAAGCATGACGTAGCATTAAGTATAAAAAAATTTTTAAGGGGCGCCTGGGTGGCTCGGTTTGTTAAGTGTCCAACTCTTGATCTCAGCTCAGGTCTCAACCTCACAGTCAGGAGTTCAAGCCCCGTGA